CTCTGTTTTATTCTTCTAATTTTCTGGCAAAGATTACAGGAGCTGTAATTGTCCAATTGACTTAAAGTTTTGTACAGAGATTCATTATAATAAGCTTTATGTCCTGAGATAAAAAAAATTTAGAATATAAACTTTTAAAACAACAAACTTTTTGTTCTTAATATCAGAAATTCGATTATTAATTGGGCGCTTTGAAAAATCTAACCTTGCTTTAAAATAAAGAAATTTTCAACAAAAATTTTTATCTCAGGACATTTATCTACATAAAACAAATAAAAATACAAAAAATTAGAACTTAATAAATTATACTTTTTGAGATATCTTTGCCAAGATTTTAGCCTGTTTTTGGCCTAAAATCACCTGTTTTTGCCCAAAATATATATGAAAAAAAAAATAATTAAAAATTATGAATTTTCTAATGCATTTATCATGTTCAAAGTATAAAAATTTATTGAAATATTGTAACATACAAAAATAATTTTTTAGCAGTCTACCACCTTAAAATGGACAAATAAGGCTCTGCGAAAAATAACTTTAAAAAAACACTTTTTATTAATAAAAACCGTATCTCATCTTGAGCATCTAAAAACATATCATTTTAAGCAACTTTATCAAGTACTATCATAATTTAAATAGCATGACAACAGCTTATGTATTATCTCAAGTAGCACATGGAATTAGTAGTAGATAAGCATAAAATATTAAGGACGTAACAAATTTTTAATGATCGTGGTTCGTTCTGACGTAATTACAAAATATTGAATAATAAAAAATTATAATGGGAATGGTAAATTTTTTTAACCATAAAACAATCAAAGAATATTAACTAAACAAAAAAAAAATTAAATATATAACATCGTCGATTTAGTATAATAATATATATATACTTTTTAATTTTTAACATTTATGTTTTTAAACAATAAAATAGAAATTTTATTTGGTTACCATAAAAACGCAGTGAAATTTGTTTATTTTAAGGAATGAAAAAATAAAAAGTGCTTACCACAGCAAAATAAAACGTGTTTGCTGCAGCACTGTGCCATTTTTAACTTTAAGGAAAACCAAATTTAACTCGTTACTTTGATATATCAATTTAACTGGATAACATCAGTTTTATATATATATATATATATATATATATATATATATATATATATATATATATATAATTTATTTATTTAAATATATATATACATATATAATTAAATATATATACAAATATGGGCCTTCAAATTAGGTAAATCCTGCATATATGGGCCTTTTTGAAAATAAAAGAGTACTTTTTGGAGCCAGCACGCCCCTGATAATCAGTGAAACCTTCAATAACAAATTTCTTTTAAGATGAGTTCTGTGTGAAAGTATGCATGTTAAAAAGTAAATAGACAGGGAGATGGGGAGGGGAGGCAACTAAGGTTATTAAAAAACTGAGTTTAATTCAGTCTTAGTTTATAGCTTATTTTTAGTAATGATTATGATATACTTATATATATATATATATATATATATATATATATATATATATATATATATATATATATATATATATATATATATATATATATATATATATATATATATATATATATATGTATATATATATATATTCATTGTTTTAATGCATTTTGTGCCAACTTCATTGCTCATACATTTTCACTTCCCCATGAGTACCTACTAATTTTCTGAATTCACCTTATCAAAGTCTGTTAAATCAGTAAAAAAAAATTATTATGAAAATCAGTGTCGATACTAGGTTAACGATGGTTTAAAGGGAAGGCACAATTTTTAAAGTTTTCCCCGTAGCCATTTTTAAGAGTCCATTATTTCTTACTGAATCGTATCTTATCAGCAGTTTTTTAAAAATTAGGAAGCCGACTATATATAAAAAAAAAAAGATATGTCTTTTCACTTCTTAAGTTGCTAATTTTGTATATTGACCCATCAAAAATCAACTTTTTATATCTGCAAACAATTTTTTAGGTTTTTTAGGCAGCCATTTTGAATAAATTGTGAAATTAAAAAATTCAATGTCAAGGTTTAACAAAGTAAGTCTACAGTTGTATATATTAAAAAAAACTACAAGGTTTTCTGAAATTTTGTTTTTAAAATAATATTTTTTATAATAAAATAATTTAATAATAATATTATAATAATATAATTTCGTTTTTAAAATAAAAGAGCTTCAAAGTATGAACAAAACGTTTTTGCTAATAAAGTTTTAATTTTTGGAAAAACCAGATATTTCAAAAGGTAATAACTCATAAACCACAAAATATTTTAAGCTAAAATTTTTAGGAATTGCTTTTCTCATTGATATAAACCAATCCACAAAGTTTCTTTAAAATCTGAGTGGGTCCATGTTGGAATCCCAAAATTTTAGTCCATTTGGCATGGAATGACCCTATAATAAATATCCTTCAAACTAAGATTGTTCAAAAAACTAAAAAAATGTAAACATAAAAAAGCACTTACAAGATACTGTTGATTTAAATGAATTTTGCTTCTAAAATTAAAAAAAGTATATATATAGTGTTAAATATTATGTATATTTTCAGAATAAAATTTAACTTTTCTAAACATTTCTGCCAAAAAAAAAAATGCAACAAAATTTGGCAAATAACTAGGAAATAATTATAAAATAAAAAAAGATAGGTTTATAGAAAAATTCTAAAGTTTTAACTTAATAACTAGTTTCTAACATTATTCAAACCACCACATGCAGTTAGACTGCGTACAATTATTTTATTAATGCAATCAACACACTAATCAAAGGACAAGTAATGGATTTAGCTAAATTGACATTAAATTTTTCTACCATAATATTTATTAATCCAAACATAACTGGCTTGCTTAAGACAGACCAAGGTAATAAACTTTTGATAACTAATTTAATATTATTTAACAGTTCTGGTGTCAAAGATGTGATATTTAAATATTTATTTTTATTGTGATATTCATGATATTTAGTTTTATAGATGTGAAGTATTTAGTTTTAAAGATGTGAAGTATTTAGTAAGATTATGTTGACTAACTTCACTGACATTGCTTTTTAATTTATAATGTTTAAAAAGCTGCCAGATACCACTAAGACATAAAATGGATGGAAGACCATTCCAGAAAACTAAAATCATTAAATTACATTAAAAATTTAGGCTGAAGAGAGCCAAATAGTTAACAGCCAAAGTTTTTTAGTGGCTTCAACACCTTTAAAACCTACAAAAATAAACCTGTTACACTTTTTCAAGCTTCCCACAGCTTTGCTCCACAACCCTGTTCAGCAAAGCAAAAAATTTTATCTATCTACTTTTTCACCCTTCGAAAATCAATCCTTTGGAATTCTAAACTTTTCTTAGAATTTCAATTTTTTTGGGCTAGTATTAAAACCTATTGATATACGCCAGTGCAGAAACTATTTTATGTAAAAAATATAATTTTTATAAGCATAATCAAAATTAAAAAAAAAGTTTTGAAATTTCACCAAACAATTATAAGGTGTTTAAAAATTATAGCCATATAAAATATAGAATTCAAAAGGAGGTTGTTATCTTTATTCATATCAAGTCTATTTTTAAGGGACTTTTTTAAGGGTTTTTTTTGTTCCTAATCTTTATCACAATTATGATCATACTTTTTTTAATCAAAAAATTTAAATACTGAAAAATAACTTATAAAACATCAAAACTAATTAATTACACATTATCAAAAAAAAAATCTACTATATTTTAACATTAGAATATGACTGATTGACCAAGTTATTGCCAATTTGATTCAATTATTACTCTTATTGGCATCACTTCTTAACTTACTGGCATCACTTTTAATTCAGATATAGAGAACCTAAACATTATAAGATTGAATTTCCTTTTGTGGTAGATTTATTATTTGTTGTTTCCATTAAAGATAATTTGAAAATTTTACTCCCAAGTCTTTAAAATAGTTTTTCAAGTTCTCTCTCATCTATTCGATAAATATGATTCTCATTTTCTATAATATTTCATAATCAGGGCTTAAAGGTGCTTTTAGGTTCTATAATCAGGGCTCAAAGGTCATTACTTTTCTGTAATGTTTCATAATCATGACGCAAAGGTATGAAAAGCAATTGCAAATTATGATTGCCATGATCACACCTTTGCGATTAGTTTTTTCTTAAAAAAATTATTTTCGCGATTTGTTTTTTTTTCGTTTTTTTTTATTATTCTTTTTTTATTCTTTCTAATTTAGCATTTTTCTTTCTAATTTAGCATTCTTAAAAAAAATGTTTTTGTTTTTTATTAGGAATCTTAAAGTCTTGCTAAATTTATCTTTTGAATAGTATAATCACTTACTCTCTTGCAGGGAGATTTTTATTTCACATAAAGCACTTTTGAACTTAAATTACTTTAAGTCTCTGTGTGGATGCCAATAAAATTTTCAAGTTATATTTCGTTTGATTTACTGAACAGATAAAGTACATCGCAGTAAATTTACCTATAAATTAAATCAAAATGAGGAGTTAATTTACTACAGTAACTTACAGTTACTCAACTATTAAATTCACTTAATATGCTAAAAGACTTGCTAAAGTTAGCCATACAAATATTTCTATTTATATCTTATATGTTTTTAACATATAATATAAGCTTCTAACTAAAAATTATTTTAACAAGATATCTTGAATAGAACATGAAAAACGCGATACCATTTTTTTATATTTTCATTTTATTTAAAGCTAATCAAGATTAAAAATTTTCTATAAATATGCAAGTTGTTTATAGGAATTTTTTTAAAGAAGAAATCTATTTCAACAAAAGAATTTTAGTCTTCTAAAATTCTCTTATTTAAGTAACTTTTTGATTAAAATTTGATATAAAAAAAAGGGAAAAATTTATATTATTAATTTTATTATTATTTATTAATGCTGTTGAGATAAAGCGCCAGGCAATATCTATGACAGCTGGTATAAATTAATTAATGAACAAGTTAGTTCAGTCACTAAATAATAAAAACGTTAATAATAAGCTTTCTTGGTTTTTATCTTGTTTGTTATTGCTTTTAAGTCAATCGATTGCAAGTTTAATTTGAAGCTTTTAACTCTAGCAGATTGAACAACTTCAGCTGGTAGACTATCCCATCCATCAACGACCCTATTGTTGAAAAAATATTGCCTTTTCAAACAATTTCTGACTAATTCAGATTTCATTCAGACTAATTCAGACAGATTTCATTTAGACTAATTCAGATTTCATGTTTTGCTCCTCTAATGTTAGCTGCAGGACCTGATGAGCAAATAGAGTTCATTGTTTAATTTTGTTTAATATCAATGATTTCAATACGTTTAAATATTTTGAATTTCTGGATCAAGTCACAACTTAGCTTTTTAGTCTCTAAAGTAGTCAAACCCAAAATTTTAAATCTTTTTTCGCACTCAAGATGACTTAGCTCCAGTATCATTTTGGTAGCTCTTCATTGGATTTTTTCTAGTTCATTAATATCTTTTGTATAATACGGACTCCATGCTTGAATAGAAATATCTAAATTTAGTCTAACATATGTACGATACAGTGTTTTTATTAGATCTTTATCCTTGTACTTGAATGTATTATTTAGTAGTGAAAGCATACTATTTGCTTTACTAGCTGCATATTTTACTTGTTTGGCCCATTTTAAATCACTTGATATATAAACACCAATGTCTTTTTCTAGTTTTGACTTTTCAATTTTCATTAATATATTGTTATTGTTCATAAAATAAGTGCATAACTTTACATTTTTCAAAACTTAATTCTTATTTCCATTTTGTTGACCATTCATCAAGTTTATTTATATCACTTTAAAACAATTGCAAATCATTTTGAGAAGAAATAGGAACAATTATCTTATTATCATCAGCATATAAACGACATTCATTAATAAAAATTTCTGGTAAATCATTTATAAATGCCAGAAAAAGGAGAGGACCTAGAACAGACCCGTGTGGTACACCACTATGTAGATCAACTTAATCTGTCACACTTTCACCTAAAACTACTCTTTGTTTATTATTAGTTAAGAAACAAACATAAGAAGTTTACCAGAAATACCAAAAGTCAATAACTTGGATAATAACTTTTTATGTGAAACACTATCAAAAGCTTTTTTAAAGTCTGTGTACAATACATCTACCGGTGTTCCATTGTGGAACACATCTGTTAAAATATCTAGGTATTCTAATAGGTTTGTTGTACAACTCTTGTTTTTCATAAAACCATGTTGTTTTTTTGAAAGTAAACTATTTTTTATGAGATGTTGCATGATACAATCAGCTATTATTCTTTCCAACACTTTACATGGTATTGCAGTTAACGAGGCGGGTCTGTAGTTAGATGCTTTTAATTTGCATCCTTTTTTAAAAAAGTTGCTTTACATTTGCCTTCTTCCACATATCTGGTAGGATACCTGTTTCCATCAATTTTTTGAAAATTAAATATAATGGGTATGATATTGACGAGGTGCATTCTTTTAAAACACAAAGATGAACAAAATCAAAACCGACCAATTTCAACTTATCAAGTGCTTGTCGAAATTGGTATAGTTTGAGTTTGTTAAAAGTCGTCTAGTTTGAACATCATTTTGTGTTTTTAAAATTGTGTTTAATAATAAATTTGAAGGCATATTATGAAACTTAATAATACTTGTACAATTATCACTAACATACACAGAGTGAAAATATTTATTTAGTTCAGTAGCTATAGGGTAATTCCATGTCAATTGAGCCAGGTCATGTCACCATACATCTCAGATTTTGCTGATTTTTATACAGTTGAGAGTACTTTGTAAAACAAAAAATCCTTGAAAATTTAAGCTTCTAGCTCCAAGAGGATCATGAAATATGATCATTTTACTTTTAACTGATCTTGGCCAGGCCCCTCTTGTCCCCTCAGAAATTTGACCTTTGTTTAAAGGTTCCAAGTCACATAGCTTTAAAAATATTTAATCTTTTAACTTAAAAATTTGTATCTAGTTATTTTCAGGGTTGAAGAATCCAATGAAATAATCAGAAATTTAAAAAAATATTTTTAAGTACCTGTAATTATCAATTTAAATAAATTTAGACAATTTTCTATATAGCTGATTTTGATGCTCAAGAAAGCCATGTGGCCTTGATGATATGAAAAAAAAAAAATTGTACACATTATTCTATATTTAATGATCTTTCAGAAAACATAAAAATTTTGATCTGCAAGTATATTGATTTCCATATATGATTAATGGGGCACTATTTTGTAGCGGAATCTTGCCATACATTTTTCACTACCTTTCAGACTAGCTGGAACGATGAAAATTTTGGTATTTATGTAGTGTCAATAAATGTGCATTTTAAAATTAAAAAAGGGCCCAAGACACTAGGGGAGGGGGCTGAAGGGATGTGCCCCACTTTTTTGACCAGAATCTTGAGATGGATTTTTCAGTATCTTCCAGACTAGTTGGAGCTTTGAAACTTTCAGCATTTGTGTAGTCCTGATGAACATGCATTAAAATTGTTTC